AGGAGCGAGGGGTGCGTGACGAGCACGACCGCCGCGTTCTCCAGCAGCGCCGCGCACAGACGGAGCCCGCGGCGCGAGCACCAGAGGAGCAGCACGTACAGGGCCGCCACGCCAAACATGATGTAGCCGAGGGGGGGCGACTGGGAGAGCACCGCGGCGCCGGAGGACGCCATCGAGATGGGAATGAGCGCCATCGAAGAGTAGACAAAGGGCCGCGCACAGGAGCGCAGCGCGAGCACCATCCCTCCGCCGGCGGCAGCGACAATGGCCGTGAGCGGCAGTAGGTACCAGGCGTGGCGCAAGATGGTGGTCGGGACTGGGTCGGGCGCGGAGGCGAGAAGGCGGCGCGCGACGCCCGCGCCGGGCTTGGGGCCGCAGCCCTCTGGGGGCGAGGTGAGCGCCTCCAGGTCGCCGTTCGCCGCGCCGTGGAGCCCGCACGCGACGGCAGCGCCGACCGAGAGGAGGAAGACAAAGACAAAGGCGACGTCGGTGGATGCGCGCTTAGAGAGCTTGAGCGGCGAGACGCCGATCAGGCGCGAGTCGTCCATCCCCCTGAGCCGGCCGGTCAAGGCTTTGGAGTGGACGCGGCCGCAGCCTCTTCTGTGAAGGACTTGAGAGACCACTGCAGACCAAGGGCCAGACGCCTGCCTACCTGCGCAAGTACTTCGCCGAGAACGAGGGAAAGGACGGGCACACGTTCCGCGGAGGAGTTGCGTTCTGCGACAACGAGGTCGTCCTCAACTCCAGCGCCGTGCGCGAGCTCTGCCTCAAGTACGGCATCACCCTCCGCCACAGCTGCCCCTACGAGCCGTGGCAGAATGGGGCGTGCGAGCGTGCGAACGCTACCTGCGGCAGGATCGTGCGGGAGATGATGGCGCGCGCAGGGGGGCATGGCGCCGCCCAGCTCTACCAGTACTGGGGCTACGCCTGGGTGTACGCGGCCACCATCGCCAACGCCACCTTCGCCGTGCGCGACACCGGCAAGTCAGCGTACGAGCTCAAGACCGGGCAGCGCCCCAAGATGAACATGTTCTACCCGTGGGCGTGCAAGATGATCGTCAAGTCGCCCCCCCCACCTTGTGGCGAACGGTGTCTCACCCACGGGCGAGATGGCGGCCTTCCTCGGCATCTCGCGCACTTCGCCCGGCTGGAAGTACGTCATCACCGAGTATCCGCTCAAGGCGAAGGATGGGCGACGCCACGCAGACGTCCCTATGCCGCACGGCGTACTAGCAGGCATCGAATACCGCGGTCCTACCTCCGACGGAATCCACGACAACCGTGTGACGCGCGCGGCGGCGACGGCGGCGGCGGCGATGAGGCGGCG